TGTTATTTGAAAGAACCCCTCCCCCCCACCCCCCCCCCCCCCATTTCTCTTGTTTATGTTTTCTGTTTTCTATTATGTTTATTTCCTTACTTGCATGCATGTAGTTTTTGATGTAACTAGTAGTAGCAACTCTAACAATCACACCTATCATTCTCGTACTTAACTTATCTATGAAATCCTCTGTTTGAGCCAAAAAAAAAAAAAAAAAAAACTTTTTTAAAACTAATAAGTAGGCTATTAGATATAACAAAAAGTAATACCCACAAAATATGGGGCGTAGAGCACTTGATTTATTGTTTAGGTAAGGGCCGCCCCTGGAGGCGGTCAGTCGGTGAAATCATGTACACAAAATTCAAAAACCATATATAGAGAGAGAAATGGCGACTGCTAGAAAGAGTGCATCGGCCATGGAGGCATTCGTGAAGCTTGAGAATGTAGGGGAGGGGACTTACGGAAAGGTGTAGAAAGCGAGAAATAGGGTTACTGGCGAACTACTGAAGAAGACGAAGCTTCCCGAGGACGAGCAAGGTGTTGCTACCACTACTCTCCGCGAGATCTCTCTTCTGCGGATGCTCTCTAACGGTTCTCACATTGTCAAGTACGTACACCCTCACTCTCATTTCTCTCTTCTTACTCCATTTCTCTATTCTCTGCCTAGGGTTCGATAGTTTTACTTAATCGCTTGAAATTTGTTTGCAAATTCGTTTCTCTGCGATTAGGCATTATATCTGTTTCAATTAATTTGTCCTTTTTCACTTTAGTTTTATAATTTATTTTTGGCATTTGATATCTGTATCCTGTGTTCTGATATGATGTTCTATAAATATATAAATCAGACTGATGGATGTTAAACAAGGCCAGACCAAAGAAGGAAAGACGGTTCTTTACTTGGTGTTTGAGTACATGGATACAGAGAAGTGTTACGAACATTTCGTCGTCCTCGGGAAGCTTCTTCTTCTTCAGTGCTACGATTACTTAATTGCTTGAAATTTCTTTGCAAACTCGTTTCTCTGCGATTAGGTATTATATCTGTTTCAATTAATTTGTCCCTTTTCACTTTAGTTTTGTAATTTGTTTTCGGCATTTGATATCAGTATCCTGTGTTCTGATATGATGTTCTATAAATATATAAATCAGACTGATGGATGTTAAACAAGACCAGAACAAAGAAGGAAAGATGGTTCTTTACTTGGTGTTTGAGTACATGGATACTGATGTCCAGAAATTTATTCATAGTTTCCGCGCAAAGAGACAAAACATTCCCCCTAAAATTGTCAAGGTTTGTAGTCGGAATGTTTGAGCAATATGCTCAAAGTATGTACTCTGTTAAAAAAGAGAAGTCGTGCTGCATATAGTTTTGTTTTAGACTTCTGATTTCTGTGACATGTGCATCTTTTCTTATTTGGTAGGAGTATAGAACAATGAAGCACCTTTTTTTTTTCTTCTTTCAAATCACTCTAAATAGAGCTCTCTGGACAAGGTTCCACTGCTTTTAGAGATAAACAGAAGCTCTTATACTTCTATCACAGCCGTTTAGCATAGGTACACTCAAAATTAGGTGTTAATTTGTTTCTCTTGCTGCTTGACGAAGGCAACGGAATATTTGTCACTTTTCACCACAGAAATTTTATCTTGATACTCAACCTGCTGGTGCATACTAGCACTTAAATGATTGGTTGTAGTTATAGCATGGTATACTTTTCTTTTACAATATAAACCAAGGAACTCTATTTTCCTTCTTCTGAGATGCTCGTAAGCACTTCACATGGCACAGTGTTGTGGCTGCAAATTTTTGGGCTTGATCATTCCCTTGTTTTGGCAGGATATTCATAGATGCAATCCGACTAGTACTTTCAGGAGTACGCCTCTTCCTCGAGGGCATTTGCGTTCTCCATCTTTTTCATTAATCCCATTCACAATAGAATTAGGAGTAAGACCTGACTTTCAAAATTTGTTGACTACTTTGTAGGGATGGGCATGCTCTTGGTACCAATTTATCTGTTATGAAAAGGGATAATTCATTTGATAGGAAACCTTTCTTATGCCTGTTTACTGAAGAAGGGGAAAAATGAAAAATGTGTTACAATATTGACAGTTTTAATGCATTTAAAGTTCTGCAATATTTGTATGAAACTTGGGCTGCTTTGCTTTCAACAATCTCTACAAGACTTCTGGTTTTCCTTTGATTAGCATGGGACTAAAAACAATTTTGTATGGACGACTTTACTTGAACATGATCTGTTTTATAGGCTCATACCACGGCATCCTTGAGTTTTAAGGAGACAGGATTGAAAAATGGTGGATGAACCATGGTCATTAGACCTAAGTGTGATTAACAGCTCCCATGATTCTCAGGTCTGAGCCGTAGAGGTTCGTTCCGGGATGGACTAATGGCTGTCTAACAGGCTCTTTAAAAAAAATGAGAGGGCTAGGATTTGGAATTATTTGAGTTTACAAATTCCAGAGGAGAGGATAATGTATAATCTTAAAAAAATCTGCAGTTCCTCCTAGATGCTGGAATTACCTACATAAACGTGTTGCTTTAAGAACACTAATTCCTAGCAATGTGCCAATTGTAAAGGGAAAATTCCCAAAAAGGTGGTTGTTTCCCAAATATAAGTGTTCTAACTCAGTAACTTAGCAAATCAGTAGAGAACTTTTACAGATAAGAAGTTGTCAGGGAAGTCAAGGTATATCAGGTCATCTGTATAATTGAACAAGGTAACAAGGTAACTGGCCTTGGAAACATGTAATGGTAACAAGTGTTCAGACTCTACTTAATAATTATCCCTTGATTGTCACTTTCATCATTGAGCGTCGTTATTGGTTGAAAAAGATTGAATTGCTGAATCTTCAAAAGATCAAGACAGTTTCCATAAGGGCAAAAGGGCACCAACGTGTTAAAATCCAAGCCCCAACTCTTCAACATTTGCTTTTATTTTTTATGCTTCAGAAGATTCTCCTGACTTGGATATTGTTGAATGTAAATCTGAAATCTTTAGAGCTATCACTTGTGAGGATATCTGATGGATTTCTCGAGCACATTATTTCTAGATTTCAATCCCTTGAGAGTTTGACATTACATCATGTTGGGCTGGAAAGGAAAGGTTCAACATTAGTGGGGAGTCGATCCCTAAAGGACTTGAAAATTTGTTCTTATACAAGCATAGGAGAAATTGATGCTCCAAATTTGGTGTCACTTGAGTATGTGGGATATCCTATTCCTGAGCTTAAAATTGCAGAAGAGTCAAGCCAATTGAAGCACTCAAATATTGAACTTGCTATTCATAACAATTTAAGTGCGGCTTTTTTATGTAAGTTGAGGAAACTTCTATCAAATTTGACCTCTTGGTCTCAACCTTTCCTTTATTTTTACAAATGCAATGAGATCAAGTAGGAAGATTTGCAACTGCACCATAGAGTTGCTACCCCCCTAATTGGGTGTTTTAAATATAAGTATTATAAGGTCGTCTGAGGAGTGCCCGACTTTTGTGGATGCTTTGTATGGAATTGTCATCCTAGGAAACTCATCCTAACCTCAACTATTGAAATGATTACATGCTTCATGGATCATTTAATGTATATGAAGAATTCAGAGTCATTCTACTTCTCATGGAATCAAGCCTTGGCATAGTCAATTTAAAGATGTAAAAGCCACATGATTGATCAAAAAGATCAGCTTGTGGAACTCAGAAGTAGAGAGGTGGCAGTGAGGAATCTCAGTGAGTGGAAGCATTTTTGTTTTGTATTAGAATGGTTAGCAGTTAATTCTATTGTAAATTGAATTCACTTATTCATTTATAAAGTTCATTAATTTATACTTTCCATGGTAGATCAGAGATATACTTCAAATTTAAGTCCCTCCGTTAGTCTTTTTCTTGAAAGAAGTCTTTGTCAAATATTTTTAAGTTTGAAATATTGAGGCATGTAGAGTCATGTCTATTTTCTCTTAATTCATGCGAATTCGATGACCTTCTTTTTCTGTTTTGACCTTATAGATATTGTTCAACATATGACTTGGTAAGTGATACACTGTAATTTGTACTTCTCTTTGTCAAACTTTTTGGATATTTACATCATATATTTTAGTTGTTGGAACATATTAGAGGTTCCACTGCTTTTAGAGATAAACAGAAGCTGTTAAACTTCAGTCCTGCCATGTAGTATAGGCACACTCAAAAATAAGTGTTAATTTGCTTCTGTAGCAGCTTGACGAAGGTAGCATCGCGTACCCGCCATAGCAATTTTATCCTTTAGTACTCACTTTGCTGTTGCATACTAATACTTTTTTTCAAGCTGAAATATTAGTCCTTTATAAGCAAGCTCTGCCGTAGCACAGACATTAACATTGATCAGTGAGAAGAGTCAAATAGAATCTGGTAATATGTAATCATACAGCATGAACTATGCTAAACACAGAATGATACCACTTCATTAAGCCATTACAAGCGTACATATATACGTACCAATGAATGCGCGTGCTTTGCAAGGTCGGCTGCTCCTTAGCTGGATGGCCTAAAATATCTTATCTTAGATGGTACAGACTAAAAAATGCAAGATCTCAAAACTTGAATTTCTTCTTCCACTTGCCCTCTTTTTCCTGCATCTTGCGCTTCTTCTTCTTCTTCCTCTCATTCTCTGCTACCATTTCACTGAAATCCTCTCTCTGACTAGGTAACTTGTTCTCTTCTCTAGCTTCTTTGTATTTGTCTGGCAGGACATTTTCCATCAGTTCCAACTCTTCAGGTGCCAAAGTAACGTCAACTCTATCTGATTTCTGACCTTTAAGCGGATAGACCCTTTTGGCAGCAGTCTTGTCTCGAGTTCCAGTGTTATTAATCACATTAGCATGAGTTGTCCCAAGAAGAATTCCTGGAGCTACCTTTTCTTCATTCTGTTCAAGCACCTGGTAGAGAGGCTTCTCAGGTTCCTTCCTCTGCTTCTTTCGAAGGTCAATAAAATCGGGAGTATCAACTTCAGTTGGAGCACTTGAAAGGCTATCCACAGAGTGAGTACCGTCGTCCAGCTCCTCTTCCTCCATCTCTTCTTCCACTTCCTCTTCCTCCAAGTCACCCCAATGCTTAGTCTTATCAACGGGTTCATCCTCATAATCAGGCTGGTCTTGTTTCAGTATAAAGACATCTCCATATAAAGAGCGTCCATATTCATTATCAGGCGGTTTACCCCAACCTCCAGGCTGATTGCCAAACGTGGCTCCTGGCGGAATAGGAGTGAGTCCAAGAATCGAATAAGAGGGTGGAGGACCATATATCTGCATATTGATCAGCCAAGGAGGAGGAGCGCTTCCAAGTCCAAGAGCGTCTATCAGTTTTTGAGACAAAGTCCCAGGTTTCATTTCCCTCAACTTCAACTTATCGAATTCCTTTCCTTCATAATATAAATCCCCATAGCTAGTCAATTTTGGTTTGGTCTGATACTTAAAAAACGCATCATAGAGAACCTGATAATCGATATCCATCTTTCCTGTTTTTGGCTGCTTTTGTTTAAGCTTCTTACTGATCTCCTTTCCAATGTAAGCTTGTTTAATTTTCTCATCAATTCCTGTCTCAGCTGTAAAGTCAGGCAGTTGAAACGGCTGTTTATCGATGATACCACGTTTACCCTGCAAATATTTTCGTTTTTGACTCCAGTGTCGTGGAACAGGAACAGTATTCCGGTAAGATTTCAGATGTACTAACAGCTTAGGGTCTGCTGCACTAGCATCCCATACCTCAACAACATCAGGCCGCACGCGGCTGAGTTGTTTCAGTTCTGCAATCTTCATCCTACATTGAAGCTTTTTCTTTTTGTTAGAACCTTCTCCTTTGGCTCTTCTTCTTCCTCTGAATCAGCAGCAATCTCGTCCTTCTTATCGTCCTCTTCCTCTGAATCAGCAACAGTCTCGGCCTTCTTACCGTCCTCCTCAGAGCCAGTAGAATTGACAAAAAAGAATTTCTCGAAGACCTTCCTGAATTCGTCATCCAACTCACCATCTAACTCTGCCTTCTCTGGGATATATTCCACTTCAAATTGCTCCAAAGACTTTTGAAAATCGGAATTCTCCTTATAAGCGCTACCGCCATTAGCCTCGTTACTATCTTTTCCATGAGACGATACCTTATTGTTTCTCTTCTGCTTCCGCCGTCTACGCCTGCTCTCGGATTCCTTTGATTTCCTAGAGCCGGCGTTAGTGTTAGAGTTAGAGATTTGGGGTTTCACATAGCCCATGGAATGGCCGACGGTGTTCATGACCCTGTTCGCAACCTCAACCGTCAATACTCCAGCTATTTTGGACGACAGGTGAAACAATGGAGGGACTAAAACGGTGCATGCATTATATATAAACCAAGAAACTCTATTCTCCTTAGGGAAGTGGGATTGATTATTTCCTTGTTTTAGCAGGATTTTCATATGCGGGTGCAGTTGACTAGAATAATCCGACTCACAATTGAATTAGGAGCCAGGCCTGACTATAAAAATTTATGTACAAAAGCAGCTCTTTGGTGGCCCTAAAGTATTGACGCCACAGTTTTTATATCAGAATGAGGTACTTCTGCTAATTACAACGGTTACCTTTTAATGAATATTTTTTTGACATTCTAGACTGTGGGATATCAGGAGAAATAAACCCCTCTCCCTACACCTTGTCAAATATGGTAATTGCAAGTTTTTTGCTTCATACTGCTGGAAGATAAGTGTCAATGCAAATTATATTGAATTTAATTGGTTAATAATTCGTAAATTATTAACTGGTGAGTACAGCTCACAAAGAGTCTTGCTCCTTTTAGCTTCAATCAGGAGGATTAGAGATTCAGTTATCATTACCCAGAATTTCTACTGCTTTTGCAGGTCTTAAAAAGTACGTATATTATATTTAACATTAGCTGATACCTTTCATTTTGCTATATATAACTAAAAGAAAAAGTTGAACCAGGAGAAAGGTATTGCTGGTTTCATGTATAGCGGACGGGATTGGACGGGACGATTTATCGGAACGAGACGGCGAAAACTTAAAGGGATAAAAGGGATCGAGCCTTATCCGGGCTGGGATAAACGGGACGACCGATTGGCCCATCCCGTCCCACTAACTAACGGGACGGGGCACGGGCCCTAAGTGGACTTTTTTTAAAATTTTTATAAATTTAAGTTGACAACGGCTATTTTTTAAAGTTAGCAATGGCTGTTTTTTAAAATTTCAACAACTAGTTTTTAAAGTCAGTCAATGGCTATTTTTTTTTTTAAAAAGAAAAATTATGGCGAGCTGGAGGGCCGGGATCAGGCCTTAACCGGGCCGAGCTACCGGGACGAAACGGCAATCCCGTCCCATCCCATCCCCGTTCCTTCCCCCAAAACCATCCCAGTTATTTCTGACGGACCAGGCCGGGACTAGGCCGGGCCTCCCCCGTTGGACACCCATAGTTTCAATGTGATATACTAATATGTCCTCCTTGTATTTTGCTGCCTCCTATGATATTTCCATCAAGTTCATGGAACTTGGAACCTTGATGTTTTTGGCTTTTAAAAAAGTAGTAACTAAACATCACATGCTAACCAATCATTTACTAACTAATATGCTTTGGAGCTAAATTGGTAACTGTTTGTAGTTGAGATGAGCTGATTTTGATTTATTTTTTCTCAGCATTAGATTCAAACTAAGATGGAAAATATGATGCTTCAGGAAGCACCTAATGTTTTTGGTTATTTTCCAATTTAATTGATTGCCATTAAGAAATAATTCTATCATGATGGGAACACAATAGCAGGATCAGGAAGTGGACCAAATTAGATTGTTATATTAAGGTTAATAAGTTTTTTTTGTGGTTCTAGTGTAAGAAACCATCCATTTAACGGTAACAAAGATTCAATGCTGTCAAAGATGGGGGAAAGTATAGCCATTGAAGTGTGTACCAAAACTATCTCATACATGTTGATAAGAACGTGCAAATTACATTGAATGTAAATGGTTAATATTGTGTAAATCAAAGGAAAACGCCATCCTAATGGAACATATCTTAAGCTGAAGAAAGATGAAAGTAAGATGTTGAAAGATGCTAGAATGTTTTGACATCTGATAGAGTTGGAATTGCATGCAAGATTAAATCCTAGAATCTAGAGAATTCAGAGAAGAAGAAGATGAAGAAGGAAGAAGAAGACTTTCATTTCATTTTCTGTTAATGTCTATTACAAGACTTGAACAGTATTTAACAAAATAACCGACCTACACATGCCTCCCACGTGTGTGTGTGTATTGACTAAAATGCCTTCACTTAACTATCTTAACTCTCAATACTCCCCCTTAAGCTGGAGGGTGGAAGATGTCTAACACACCAAGCTTGGACACTAGGAAGGAATGCTGTGCTGCAGTGAGTCCTTTTGTTAGAAGATCTGCTAGTTGTAAGGAGGAAGAAACATGACATGGAGTAACAAGCCCTGTCTTGATTTTCTCTCTGACAAAGTGGCAATCAATCTCTATGTGCTTTGTCCGCTCATGGAATATTGGATTCCCAGCTATTTGTATTGCAACTTTATTGTCACAGAACAATGTAACAGGTCTAGACACTTTAACTCCTAAATCCTCCAGCAATCCTGTTAACCATGTGATCTCAGCAGTTGCAGCAGCCATACTTCTGTATTCAGCTTCTGCTGAACTCCTGCTTACTGTGAGTTGCTTCTTTGATTTCCATGATATCAAAGAATTACCTAATTTAACAACATATCCTGTCACAGATTTTCTTGTATTAAGGCATGATGCCCAGTCTGAATCACAGTAAGTAACTAGATGATCAATAGGTCCTGCTTCCATCAGCGATCCCATGCCTGGT